CCCCCCCAGCTGCAGAGTTCACATGTGGCCAGCGCTCCAGGAGAGAGCAGACGAAGATCGTGGGAGGAACAGTTGCCACTGTGGAATCCCACCCGTGGGTTGCGGCCATATTTTGGCGCAGCAAATCCAAGGAGAAGGTTTTCCGCTGCGGGGGGAGTCTGATCTCAGCCTGCTGGGTGCTCACAGCTGCTCACTGCTTCCCCGACGGGTAGGAAGTGACATCACTAACTGTAACCACAGCAGGTGCCTGAGAGTAACTGATTACATGTAATCGAGTACTTTACTTACAGCGAAAATACAGACTTTAATTTAATGTATTATGTCAACAGATTAGTTTAAAGCAATAATGTTAAAGTGGACCCATCATGCTATATTTGAAACATATATTGTAGGGCCATACCTATATAAAACATGTCTGTGAAGTTTTTTTTCAAAATACCAAACAGATCATACATTTTAGCCATGCCTCATTTTGCTCTTTTCCAGCCCTGTTTTTGCAAGGGCTGATTCTGCTTTTGTGGCAGACTACAGCGTCACTTACAGGCCTGGCATATGTACTACAGCATCTCCAGTGCTTTCCAGCGGTCTCTCATTCCCCTGATAGGTGGAGAGTTGCCCATACAGGCGGAGCACCCCTTTTCTGACGTCAGAAAAATTCAAATAATAATCAGCTCCGTTGCAGCCCCGTTTTTAGAGATTTGGGTATGGAGGAAAAGAGAGAGGGTTGTATTTTCTGACACTTGGTGAGTTCCCTGACACACCAGGGACACATATTCATGTATAACAGACGTACAAAAGTGCATTTTGCATGATAGGTACCCTTTAAGTTGAACCTTATATTTCTTATTTAAACTTAATACTATTGCTTTCAACTAACCTAATACAGTTATTGTTGACATAATACATTTAATTATAGTCAATGTTTCAGTTTTTTCAATGTAAGAACAATTCCAAGGTACTTGTTCTTTATTCCATGTTATTCTACATTATATTTCACTACATTTTCTACATTTGAGAGCAATGTTGTACTATTTAGTCCTGATATTTGTCTGACAACTTAAGGTACGTATACATTGCCTTCCTTTCCAGTCAAGCCATGTATCTCCAGATGTGTATATTTAATTGTGTTCGTTTAAGTGTTAAGAAAATATTTTTACTTCTTATCATAGAAAAACTCAATTTGGATTTAGATTTGAATGTACTTTATTGATCCAAATTTGTGAAATGTCTTCATCACAGCAGCATGCAAGGCATTTTGCACAACATTTTAAAATGAAATAAATTAAAAAAATTATAATTAATGCAGCAGTAATATTAATCCGAAAACATTATTTAAAATCACAAAACTCTGACAGGAAACTTTTACAGCACAATGACTAATTATACGGATATAACTTACTTTCACTTCTCGTTGGTTTTGAATGTGTTTACTTTTATTGGAGTATTTTCACAGAGTGGTGCTAGTACTTTTAAAGTGGTAAATGGACTGCATTTATATGGTGTTTTTCTGGTCTTTACAACTCCTCATTTGCCCGTTCACACATATTAATATAGAGGTGCCACCCACTTAATGAAATTTGCACACACTCCACACCATCAGGAGCCATTAAGGGTTAAGATATGCAGGATAATCTGGACTGCATGGGCCGGGATCGAATCCGCAACCTTCAGATTGTTAGACGGCTGTGGGAACTTCTGACAGCAGGTTTACTTGACTTTCCTGTGATTTTTCAGCTCCCTAACCAAAGCCAGGCGCTTCTCTGTCATCCTGGGGAAAAATATGATGAATGAGAGCGACCCGACAGTGGAGCAAACATTCAGGGTGGAGGAAATCATCCTCCATGACGGGTTTGTCCAAAATGGAGAGAGTTTTAACAACGACATCGGTATGAGCTTGTCTATAGAGGCTTCCCTGTTGATTCTGTAATGTTAAACATGCAGTGACTCTTTGATGAATGTCCTGCAGCTCTGCTGAAGCTGAGGGCCAGGAGTGGGCAGTGTGCAGAGGAGAGCAGCTCAGTGAAGAGCGTGTGTCTGCCGCCGCCTCAGCAGAACCTCCAGCCTGGAGTCTCCTGTGAGATCGCTGGATATGGGAAAGAGAAATTTGGTGAGAAAGTCTTCTGAATACTGTTATTGTGTCTAAAGTGGATATAGACTGTGTTAGTTTTCCAAAACCAAAGGGTCTTGCTCAAATTATTGCCATAATATTATCAGCAAACTATACGCTAAAATAACTCAACTCAAATGAACTAAACTCAACTCAAATTAATTCAACTCAAATGAACTAAACTTAACTCAACTCAAATTAACTTAAAGGGTACCTATCATGCAAAATGCACTTTTGTACGTCTTTTATACATGAATATGTGTCTCCGGTGTTCCAGGGAACTCACCAAGTGTCAGAAAACACAACCCTCTCTATTTTCCTCCATACCCAAATCTCTAAAAAAGGGGCTGCAACGGATCTGATACAGACTGATCCAGATTTGAACACTTTACTGATGTCAGTAAAGTGGCGCTACGGCTATTGGTCAACGGCAGGAACTGCTTTGATAGTGTTTTTGAGGAGCTTTTTGATTACAGATTTGAAAACATCGTTGCTTCCTTTAAAAGTAGCACAATTCATTATGTCAAACCTTGGAAAGTGTCTAGATATCCCTGCCCTAATGCCAAAGTAACTGGCAACTGAATATGTGTCGCCGTTTGATGTCTATGTCTGGACCGCTGCGTAAAAAGAAGGGTTTCTGCCCCATTACTTCTCTTCTTACTTCTATAAGAATAAAACACGGAGGACGGAGATCTCTTTTTCTCCCCCTCTTCTCCCCGCTGCAGCCTAGCAGCTGATCTCAGAGCACGCTCCCCTCTCCTGCAGGGGGGCGTGGTCAGCTGCAGCTCACAGAATCAGCCCCCTGCAAAAACAGGGCTGGAAAGAGTCAATAGAGCGAAATGAGGCATGGCTTAAATGCAGGATCTGTTTGGTATTTTGAAAAAAAAACTATTTTCATATACTTTATATAGGTATGGCCCTACAAGATGTTGTTCAAATATAGCATGATATGTCCCCTTTAATTACATTATAGTTGGCGTTCCTAGCGTGTATGCTACCGAGCTAAAAAAGAAGGCTACCAAGAGCTAGACATGCTAGGGAAAACATTGTTTTTATGCCAGTTACGATGAATGACCGAACGTAGCAGGCTACCCGTATAAGATTGCAATTGTAAACATGTTCTTGCTAGCCTAATATGAACCACTAGCTGTTGTTCATTGTAGGTTGGCATATTACACTGAACAACTAGCAAACGTAGGTTAGCATATTAATCTAGCTGGCAAGCTAACAAACCTAAAACAACTAAGTTTCTCTAATATTTTGTGATTTGCATTTGATTTCGTCCAGCCAGATCAATAGTTTATTACAGGTAAAAATAACTTATTCTTCTTCCGTTCTACGCCTCAAAGGTCTATAATCGAAACTGTACATGTTATGGAGATTCTGCAGGGTGTGAGGTAGGCCTATGTATGGTGTATATCTTGGCTTATAATGTTGTGTGCTACTGTTGGTGTTTTCAGCTAGCTGGCTACATAATGTTGTAACTGTCAGCTAGTGTTACGGCTGCTGCCTTCCTGGTCGTCTGAGTGTTTTCAGCTGTGTGTGTTCTATGTAAATGAGCTGTGCGGTTGCCCTCCCGGCATTGGCTGCCATCTCCTGGTTCGCCCCTGAAGATTGCGATTGGAGCACGCCGGGCCCGACGCACTCCAATCGCAGCGCACAGCCGGCGCACACCTGTTGGAGATGACTACAAAGCTTGGGGACAATCATCATTCTGGAGGCTCTGTATGTGGACAGATGCCTCTCGCTACTTGCTCTTTGTTCTGGGGTTAAACTTGTGTGATTAGTAGTGTCTAGAGTAGGTTAGTTAGAGTGTAGAGTAGCTTAGTTAGTGTTTAGAGTAGTTTAGGATTCTGTGACGGTTGCCTTTAGTTTAGCTGTGTTTTGTATAGATGCTTTGGTTAGTTGTACCACTTTTAAAGTGAGGTTTTGTTTCATTCTTTATTTAGTATATTAGTATTTATTTTCCCTGTATGTCTTTAGACTCACCTTTTAGAGTCCTCCCTTAGTTTGGTTGCCCATTTAAACTTGCGCCTTTGT